GAAATTTTGGGCACTCATCACGTTAATATCTGCAAATAAAATTGGCCAGTTATTGCCCCTTCTTTATATGTGATTAGGACAAAAACAATGATCTTGATCACGTATTTGATGTTTGTCCAGGGCTAGAAATTTTTAAAGTTGTGTCGTAAGTGCACTAATATCAAGCGGGGAAAAAGTTGCAAAAACTTGACCACAAAAGGACTTTTATTGGAGCAGGAACCAAAGCTGAGGAATGTTCATCATACTTGTTCTGGTGTTATCAATTTTATCTGGTGACCTCATGTTTTAGGATTATGAGAGAGGCAGAAAAATATCAACCCCCCCCCCCCGCCCATCTACTACTTCTATGGAAGGTATTCTGTCTCCCAGCTAAAAATGTTTTTCGGAATCATAGTTTTCCAGGACATTTTCCCAAAAACAATGTGCAACACCTTTAATTATAAGAAAATATGTCATCCTAGCCCTTGAAAGGTATCCTCAGCAAGAAATACATGCATCAATAGCTACAAGTATTTAACCAGCACTATCACACTATAAGGCCTGGGCCGAGCTGACTTCCTCCTAACCCTGAACTTCTTGCATGCAAGAAGGTGTGCTTTGTGGATGGTGGGGTTGGGGTGGGATTGGTTGGGCTCTGTTGAATTTGGCTTCAGTAGAACTTGGTACTAGAGATGTTTGTGATAACCTTGATGTAAACGTTTTGAGTTTGCAGGTAATTTCTGAAACTTATTGGGATAGAAACTAACTTCTGGATGTTTAATTTAAATTGATTTGGGAAAGAACACCATAGTTCATTATGGGAGCGAGACAAAATAGCTTCATCCCTTCATCTGTTGGACTAGGAAATGTGCCATGAATCAGACTCAGCCAGTATTTTTTTTTTTGCTGTAAAGCTTAGCACACAAACCATCGAAGTAACAGTCGGCAAGCAGTTCTAGGCACACTTTGAAGCATGTCTTCCTCACAATGAGGGCCATAAAATCTGTTGTGATAAAAAGAAACTTCCAAAAGTCATCCTGAGGATGGCCTGCAGGTGTTCTTCCCATTCTTGGAGGCAAACAGCTGGAATGGATCAGCAGCAGAAGCTTGAAAATGCATAATCTCTGGGCTGTATTTCTGCCAGTTTCAGTTAGATTCTTTTCTTCTCAAAATAATATTCTCAAAATAGTGTGCTGAAGAAGATTTTATCCACCTTTAGAGATTGCAATTTCTGGGCAATTCTGCAGAATTTGTAAATGAAGTATCTCAATGGTTTTCTGAAGGGCAAACTGATGACTATCAGAAAGATAAAAGCTGTAAACAAGAATGTGCAGCATTTCGGGGGGGCCCTCCCCCCCATCTTTAAATGTCATGTTGAGGATCACATTTCAAAATGTGGGTGAGACAGGACTGAGTATAATATTTATGTTACACTTTAACAGTTCTCCTTTGTAAACCCGTAAATATATTAAGCCAACAAAGAGGTTTTATACATCCTTGTCTTACTTTGGGTAGTATAGTATTGAACTATTCGCTAGGGACTCACTTTATTATCTTGCATGCTTTATTTCCATCATATACAACTCATCGCATTCAACGGTCAGCCTTCAATTTGCGCAAAATCATTCAAGCCTATTCACTTCATCAAACACTATCTGCATATCAACAAATGCATGGTAAACATTATTTCTCACATTCATATATTTCTCAGCAAATGCTGGTTTGCATACATCACGCTTGACATAAAAGTCACTCTGCCTTTCCATTGTCCCACTCAGCTATCTTGCAATCAGAATTCTGCTAAATGACTTCTCACACACACTTAATAGCATAATCCCCTTCAGTTTTTTTTTTAAAAATCATTCTTATTAACTTTCCTTTTTTGAAAGGAAACAATATATTAAAATTAATGATATTAATAATCAGCCATGCGTGCAGCCTTCACTCATACTTTAAACAATTTGCCCAGCCATAAAGAAACCATATCAATAACTTAAGGATTTTTCCCAGTTGCTCTGTCTACATCTGCAGCCCTACAATTCAGCATTCACACAGAATTTATGATTTTATATTTTTATTCTTGGACGGCGCCCATTCCAATTCCACTCTTCAACGTGATGCCATTTTCCCAGTATAACTCTCTAAAACACACCCTTGCAGGATTCCTGCACTCCACTTTCATCCCAAATAATAGTGCAGCCTCTAGAACTAGTAGAAGTGATCCCCAATAGAACCTGGTAAAATCTTTCCAAAAGCTTGCCATCATTCATATTTAGAAAACAATCAGTGCAATAGATTAAAAGCTCTGCCTTTCAGTATACCTTGAATACCCTTCAGTATACCCTGATATCTTGCCCAGATGCCATGTGTAATATCATAAGAAAATGTAGTGAGAACTGGGGTAGGTGCATTGGATTGTAGGAAGTTAGCACCCACCCCTCTCCTAGAAAATTGAAATAGCCGAGGAAATATTAAAAAGGCAGAATATTTCCCCTAAAAAGAGTAGAAACTCAGAAGCAGAAACTCACCTCAGAAGCCGAAGCTTACCCCCACCTTTGTTAATGGGTGGACCATTAAGGCCTGGGCCAGAATACTTTACATAACAAAGATCTCCAGGTAAAGCTATAGCAATTGCTCAAAAGCCCTTTTCAGTGCATCATCATCCAGCAAGGCTCAACCAAGCCTGGAACTCAGGACAGCCTACAGAGTTGCCCCTGCATGGCCCCATGGGAGTCTGACAACCAATCAGAATACAAGCTCCAATTCAAATCCCGACAAAGATGATAAAACCCAGGCCCTCTCAGCCCCTCAGCCCTTTTCGTGATCTCTTCCTTCCCCTTGAAGCATGTGATCATCCTTCCTTTCCACTCTGGAGCTCCAGGCCATGTGGTCCTCCTGTCCACCACTAAACCTTCCAAGGAGCCTCCATGTTTCCAGTGTCTTTTTCCCCACTTGGAACTGAACCCGGAAGGATAGTTCTTCCAACAGGATAAAACAGCCTTTTCCAACGTAGATTGGAATGGAAGATGTGTGGAAGTTGCAGTTGCCAGAATTTTATATCAGAGATGACATGTTGAAAATATTTATATTTTCTACTGATCTTAGCAGCTGGGATGCAGAATTCCAAGTGACCCCTAGGTGGGAACAAAAGGAATATTACAGTAAATCTTTCCTCTCTGTGCTGCCATCTGTATTTGTGGCCATTGGTATTTGTTGTAGCCCCTTTAAGGTACAATATGCCTAATCTTGAACTTAATAGTTTCTTTTTCCCATCCAGTTCTTCCAAACGCAGAAATCAGTTGCTGATAATAATTATTGAAGCAAAATGTCATTTAAAATCTGTATTTCATAAGATGGGGTTTGCTGTCTTTAAACCAATGTTCTATGGGATGGTGATTGATAACATCCCAGGTTAGCTAGAGGTAGTTCTATACTTATTTACATAGAAATTTTTTTCCCCCAACAGCCCTATTACCATATTTAAATGCAAGTATGTCTCTCTTAATTGATCTTTTTCAGTAGTTTAGAGATACTTTAAGCCTGTTGATCTCTGTGCATTTTTTTTCTGGTAGCAATATATGTAGCTATGGGAGTAGATCTAGAATTAGAACACTTGTAGTTCTTTGGCTCTCTGTTTTCCTATTTTCTCTTTTATTCTTTCACCTTCGGCCTGCAGTTATTTATATGACAAATAATAGTTTATTCACTGATGTGACTGTCCCCTTTTTCTTGTCTTTACAACCCAAACTGATAATCAAAATCTGAGATGAGTAAACTCTTTGAAGCATGTCTCAGGTTATATTATCTGAATTATTTCAGAAGAAATTAGGAAAACATTATTTCCAATCTATCTGATTATTTTCAGAATCAGAAAAAAATATTGCCCACCTGTCTCTTCCAACCTTTTTCTTCCTGGTGCCTCTTCCACTTCTTTCCTCTTTGCTAGTCTTCCTGATGACTTTCAGAAATAGCAAAGTGAAAAGGAAGAAGGGATTTTGTAACATGAGGAAAAGGAAGAAGGCAATAAGTTGGGGGTTGTCTGGCAGAAGTCATACGGAGGAGACGTTGGGGAGTCTCTTCCAGCTCAGCCTTTTTGAACTTCACAAATGTTGCCAGCATCCTGTGACAAAATTTGATTTAGGTCACAAAATGTTTCCATCTGCCTCTGCAGCCCAAATGATCAGGCCTCTGTTGTTTTTGTCCATAACAAGAAATAAAAAGGAAACAAAACAGTGAAATTCTGAGAGAGCTTTTTTTCTTATAGGATAATTTATATTTGGTAGCAACCTGCCTCCTTTACAGAGATGCAGGGGTGGGATTCTACCGGCTTGCACCAATTCGCTAGAACCGGTTGTTAACATTCTAAGCAGTTTGGAGAACCGGTTGTTAGAAGAAATTACTGGCCTAATCCTGTAAGGAAGGCAGGAAGGAAACATTCTGGGGTTGCTTACAGAAACTGCCTCTCCGTTAACCCTTATTACATTCTTGGCAGGACTAGACTTCCTGTCTCAGGAAATCTCTGGAGTTTTTTTCCCCTCCTTTACTGGTACTTTGCTTGTGTGGAGTGACCATTCAAAGTTACAATGGCACTGAAAAAAGTGACTTACGACCATTTTTCACACTTACGACTGTTGCAGCATCCCCACAGTCACGAGAGGCCAGGCGAGGAGATGTGTGCCTCGATGTGAGTGATACTGAGTTGGCCACACCCAGTCAATAACATGACCACCAAGCCATGTCCACCCAGTCACATGACCACCAAACCACACCTACCACCTAAGCCACGCCCACAGAACCTGTTGTTAAAAAAATTTGAATCCCACCCCTGCAGAGATGTATATTTTCTGAAATGTTTTGACTCTTTAGAAGTCCCAAAACCGAGCTCTCTGAAAACTCAAACATGAATCAACCAACAGGCACCCCCAAAACTACATACCCCAACCTCTTGCGTTGCAGCCCTTATTATACCGGCTCCCTGTTGCCTCTTTCCTCTTACGCTCTTTATTTTTCCCCATGGCCAGGTTTTCCAGCAGCGGCCTACGGACCAGTAGCAGCAGCAGCGGTGGCAGCAGCCAGAGGATCAGGTAGGGGAGGCCCTGGAGGAAGCAGGGCCAGGAAAAAAAAGCCCTTCTGTGTGGCTACAGCTTTCCATCACTTACCCTGATGTGCCTCCCTCTTGGGAAGGGACCACTAAACAAAACCACATGCTACAAACAGAGGCCAGGGCATGAAAGATTTTAAACCTGCGGAGCTGTTGGGTGGATATTTTGTTTAAAAGGTAAAAAAAAAAAAAAGACATTTCTCAGTTGTTTGCACTGGGTTAACAATGTCATATTTCCTCTTCTGCTTAGTTTCCCAACTGCTAGGGCAGTTGACTTCTTCTGCAACTAGTAGGTTTGTAAGGAAGGATTATTCTCAAGGACACCCCAGTCCAAGGCACAGATATTTTGAACCCTACGAACCCCTTAAATGTTGAAAGGGCATAAGAATCTGTGTCAGCATTGGATCTCTAGAGGTGGCCTGTCATAGCTCTAAAATCAGTCTTTTTCAACTATTTGGCAGTTGCATACTTCATTCATGGATCTGAATAGGAGGGGTGGATTTGTATTTCTATCATTATAAAAATCAAGAGTTGGTTAGGATAAGTGATTCCAGCACCACATAGTCTTCCTTTGCCTCTCTTCCCATTGAATGTGAATGCTGTGACAATGATATGTGCAAGGATGCTGGAGAATTAATTATTCCCAGTAGTTTCTCACCAAACTCTGACGCTAAGGCCACAGCTGAGCATGACATCCGAACTGGCAAGAACCATTGTTTGTACTTGGTCAGCACATCAGGACCCAAAATCATATTGTGGCTTGTGTAAACCTAATTTAATACGATGTCTGAATTGGGAAATCTCCAACTCCAGAACTGGCCTGATGCTTAAGAAAGCTGCAGGAATGGGGAAGAGACGGTGAAAAGCTGCTGTGGAAAACATAGTCTGCTTGGATGCCTGCAGGCTGAAGCCACCGGTTGGATTCTTAGCCCTCAATAGGCTCAGTCACAGCCTGGCCTAAGATTTACATTGGGCTAAACAGTAGTGTAGAAATTGGAAGTGCAGCCTGGGACCTGAATTTATTTACTATTTACTCCAGGGAGAAATGATGACAATTCTGTCCAAACTGTTATTTGTTCCAGACACATCTTTAACTTGGATATCATTTTGAGCATTTGTTACCTTCTGCAAACTCTGGGCCAAGTTTTGTGAAAAATGTTCACCCTTTTCTTTACTGTCCACTCATGACAAGCTCCACATTTTCCCACTCTCCACTGTCTGTCTCTCCCACTAAAGGGAGGAGTTAAATCATCGATTTACATTGGCAATTTTAAAAAAATGTATAATTAAGCATTTGATTCCATCATGAGAGGGCTGTTAAGACTTACCAAGCCCTTTTCTTTTCCTGTATTGGCTTGTTCACACCTTCAAATTCTAAGGGCTGAGCTGCTTTCACTGAGTTTAACTGCTCCCTAATCTGCCTTGCTTGCTAATCTCTGTAGAATGCCTGCTGTCTTCGGCCATTTGTTTTTTGCTAATTTTAACTGGGTAGTTGGGTCAGGGAGCAAGACGCAACTGGAGACCAGTCCCCAGCCAAATGCATTGAGACATGGAGCAAAGAATTGGGGAGAGGGAAAGGTGATAGTTTTATTCAGCCCTCTTCTGATGAACCTTGTTCATAGGTGTGGGACTTCTGTACCCATTTAGCTAGGTCTCTTCAGATCAAATTCCAACTCCTGCCCCCAAAATGGAAAGGGCTGCCAAGCATTTAATGCCCCCAAGAGAACTTGGGAGAAGGCTGGATTTCTTCAGAGTCCAAAGTGAGATGTTTAGAGAACTCCGTTCCATGCAAACTGGCACTGCTTTCAAGGCTACAAAGGATAATTTAATACCATTTTAATGTTACTTTAATAAGGGGATGTCCAATTTGAGCGCAGCGGGATTGATTTGCTAAATACCTATGGTAATATTATTTTTCCTTTGGTATTTTCTGGATTCTGTTTTTAAACTGATTTTATCCTTGATGCAAACAAAGATCTACAGTTTTCATACCCCTTTCCTGTGCTTTTCCCCAATACAATTGCAGTTTTATTTTGCAAAGGTATCATGAATTTTCTCTTAGAAAGATTTAGGCGATTAACTTTGACATTCACGGATGTCTAATTTTGATTGGAATATTACTGTAACTCACCTGCTTCTCTGCTTGAAATAATTTGCTTTAAAAAAAAAATTAAAGCCAATGTTTTGTAATTTGATGGGTTTTTAAAAAAAATTAACCTGTGATACAAAACTAAATCTAACCCAAATTAACATCAATCTATATGGCAAGTGTAAAGATCAGTATGGTACCCTGCGGAAGACTTCTGTGCAAATCTGCTCCCATACTTCTGCCACAGAGGAAGAAAAGATGTCTGCATATTCAGAAGGAGTTCCCTGCACCAGAGACTATTTGATAGCTATTGTTATCAAAGAGGTGTGTAGAATTGATAGTGAAATGGATTCAGGGCCAGTGGAGTAAAGTCGTTTTCATATTGGGGCTCAAACCTGATTCATTAAAGAAGAGGAAATTGGGGGGGGGGGGAGAACCAATTGCCCTCAATTTTTGAGGATTACAGCAATATAACACAGGTGGCATCAGTCGGAGCGCGTTAAGACTGCCTATAGTTAAAGCCCACCTCCCCCATCTGTATCATAAGGTGCACGAAAGTTAACGTCCAAATGGTAAGCCTTCAATTTACCCAGCTCTTAGGGATTTCCTCTTGATTATGACAATTGTACGATGCCTGTGCTGAAAGAGCTTCCCTGGTTATCAGTAGGCTTGTCGAGTACTGATCATAAAGCCTGAACAGCTTAGGACCTGATTGTCTCAGGGAACACTGCTGTTCTTGTGTACCTGCTTGGGCTTGGCTTTTAAAATCTGTAAGAAAGGCCCTTTAGGTGCCACATTACCAGTGACTGGCATGTGAGGAAGGACTTGCAGCTGAGTTTCTCCTCAATTCCCATAGGATTTAGAAGAGAACAGTAAAGACAACTCTCTTTTAGCAGGCAGTTATTAATTTGTTTTAAAATTGATTAGGTGTTTTAAACCAGGGGTCGACAACCTTTTGGACCTCAAAGACCACCAAACTTATAATTTTAAATCCCACGGACCAGAGACCCTGGGAAAATCCCCCCAAAGTCTGCAGGAATATTCCCTACCCAGTTTTCCTACCGATCGATCATTCTTTATTTGAGATCGCAGAATACCGTCTCCAGCTCCGTTCTCAGGGGGAGAGACTTTTGGCTTCATGCAAGGAAAGCAGCAGAAGCAGCAGAAGTTTTTCTTTCTCTCCCCCAAACTCCGCCAGAAATGAGTCTTTGTGAGACTTGTCGCGCCAGCACAGCCTCTTGGAGCAGGGATGCCTTGCAGGGTCCCGAAGACTCATTTCTGGCAGAGTTTGGAGTAGAGAAAGAAAGATTTTTGCTGCTTTCCTTGCGTGCAGCCAAAAGCAGAAAAAGAAAAAAGTGGAAAGAAGCAGCCTGGTGGCCAGGCCAGGCAAGTGGAGCAAGTCCCCCCCTGCCCTTTCCCCATTCCCCTCACTACCTCATGTTGTTCGCAATGCAAGCGACGCAAGCCTTGTGTTCCCATGAGCCATGTGGGCAGTGCAGCCTTGTGTTCCCGCACAGCCTGGATGAATTGCTTTGGGGGTGACATTTCTCTGTGGACCACCAAAATTTTCATGCAAACCACCAGTGGTCCCCGGCCCACTGGTTGGCAACCACTGTTTTAAACAACAGATAGACAGACAGGCACAGACATTAGCCACTTTGAAAAGAAATTGAAAACTTGGGGATTACCCATGGGCCGGATATGTCACATGCTGGCCCTGCCCCCATCTGGTTTAGCAAAGGGGGGGAAAGTCCTGCTACATCATGTAACGACACGAGTTTGACACCTCTGTCCTAGGGGAATGTTAAAATGTTCAGGAGACACGATTGCAGCCAGAGCCATGTGGTCAAAACCCCATTCCCTTTTTCGGTGCACTTAAAAAGGGGGAAAACCTCAATGTTGGTGTTGTGGGCACTGTCTTGACTTTTAAAAAAAAAAAAAACTTCCAGTGAACATCCCTGGTTGGTCTAAACTGAATAAAGATAATATTTCTCCCATCAGTTCTTGGACATGGGTCAGGCTAAAAGAGTTGAGAGAGGGACTCAATTCAAGGTTGGTTGGTTTATAAAGTTTTCAATGCCATCCAATTCCCAACAACTCTGGGCAAGCTCACAACAACTAAATGTTTAACTCCTCATGCTGCCTTCACATCTGGCAAAATTTGGCTGGGGACTGCCTGGCTGAGCACTCTAACCAGAGTTGGCATGTTCTGTGACAGAGTTTACCACTGAAATCTTACTTATCTTCAGTGAGTGGATAAAACAGAGGTTCCTCTCTGTTTTTCTGATTCTAAGAGGGAGTAGTAGTCACCTAGCTTTAATGTAAGCGCACTATAAACTTTTAAACTACACTTTAAACAAAATGTAACCAGTGAGTTCCAAAATTGTGCTGCTTGTGGATATCATTTCCTCCGGTCCCCTGCCCGTTCTACTGTTTAATGTTTTAAATACAATTTAACTTTTAACAAAATTTAAAAGAAATTTGCTATTCTACAAAACAAAATACTAGCTCCAGAGTCATCCGTGCCCAGAAATGTCCAGATTTTATGTTTATCAAAGGCGTTTTTAAGAAATATAAATACATAATAAATGACTACAGCCTTATGGTTTGTTGATAAAACATGCCTGCTTGTCCAGAAATAGAAAGTTCAGGATTAATTGAAAGTTTTCTGGTGGAAGAGAAAAGTGGGCAAGGAAAGACCTCACACATTTGCCTCATAGTAAATTAGAATGTATTGCAATCATTTACTCCCTTTGCACCAACCATTTTATGGATGACGAATCTCTCTATAACTGCCATTTCTTTAAATGCCCCAAGTCTGTTCTCAAAATAACAAACACGTCCTCTCTAGTCCCAAAACATGATCTCTGTATATCCCAAGCTTTGGTATCTGC